AAAAAAAGTAATGTTCCATCTGTTACTTAATTTCTCCTGGGGTTTTTTTTTTCTGTTGTTGTTGTTGCTATTTCCCTTTTCCTTTTTCTTTTAAAAAATACATTTTTTTAAAAAAAAATCTACCATTGATCAGAACAACTCTTTTGGCTACTACCCAACCAAGACCTTTCTTTCAAAACCAGGCTTCCAAAAACAGTAAATGATAGTGGGGGTTTTCTTTTGTTTTGTTTATGTTTTTTAATATTGTTTTGTTTTTGGTTTATTTTGCTTCCCTGTCTCACATTCAACATTTAAAAATCAAAATATAGGAATTGCGCAACTTTTATGTCCCAGACTCTGTGACGCTATAACAATGAAGATTCTGTAGCGGCCCCTCAGCAGTTTCCAGTCCATAGTGGGGGAGAGATGATCATTAGTTAAAATGGGGTGAGGTACATAATACAACAGCAGTGACCTTCGTCGTGCTACAGGAGACCCTGGAAGGCGTCCAACCCACAAGGAAGGCAGGCCTGGAAGGCTCAGTGGGGAGACGAGGTCATAGCCAAGACCTGCAGGACAAGTACAAATTAGGCAGATAGAGTCATGAGAAGACCAGTGGAGAGGAGGGCTTCATTCCAGGAGAGCAAATAGAGGTAAATGAGAGGTGCATTCATTTAAAATGAGTGATCATGCCCGGCTGGTGTGGCTCAGGGATTGAGCTGGTGACCTATGAACCAGGAAGTCACGGTTCAATTCCCAGTCAGGGCACAATCCCTAGTGTGGGGTGTGCAGGAGGCAGCCAATCAATGAGTCTCTCTCATCATTGATGTTTCTATCTCTCCCTTCCCCTCTGAAATCAATAAAAATATATTTAGAATAATAATAATAAAAATATATATGTCTAAGTGTAGCTGGAGTTGGAGGAAAGGCTCAGGCAAGGGAAGTCTGGAGAGAGAAGCAGGGATCAGATGGTCAAAAGTCTTGTATTTTTCTGCAGAGAAACCAGAAAACTGTGGAGGTAGCTATGAGAGAGACATCATCAACGTTACATGTTAGAAAGATTGTTTCCATATGGTGTGAACATGGACGGCTTTCCAGTTTTAAGATGGTACATAGGCAAAAGATAACACAAGGACTATAGATGGTAAATACCTAATTAACTTCCAGGGAAAAAGAATAGAAAGACTAAAAACAAGAAAAAAAGTGAAGGTAACATTTGACCAAAGTATTAGCTGAAAATTTCCCAGAACTTAGAAAATAAATTAAGACACAAGTTCTTGGTTTACAAGTGACCACAAAGTGCCATGCAGGACAAAGGGGAAAAGACAAAAACAAGCTACACCTGATCATATTGTCACTACATTTTATATACTTGTGGTTAAAGAGAACATCCTGAAATAGCCTAATGGGAGAAAGACAGTAGTTGAAATTAATGGGGTTCAATGATATGTAAGTATTCTCAGCAAAACCAGATGTGAGAAGGCAGTAACATAATTATTTTATTGTTGACAATTACAGATGTCTCCCATCATCCCTGTTACCCCCTCCACCAGCCACCTACTCCCCCAGCTTTCACCACATTATTGTCTATAACCATGAGCTATACATATATGCATCTATGCTCTTTGACTAATCTCTTCCAGTCCCTCACATCCCCCTCCCCTCTGAGATATATCAGTCTGTTCCATGTATCTATGGCTCTGGATCTATCTTGTTCATCAGTCTATTTCGTTCATCAGATTCCACATACAAGTGAAATCATATGGTAACATTATTATTTTTAATATATTTGTATTGATTTCAGAAAGGAAGGGGGGGTGCGAGAGAGAGATAGAAACACCAATGATGAGAGAGAATCTTTGACGGGCTGCCTTCTGTACATCCCCTAATGGGGATCGAGCCTGCAACCCGGGCATGTGCCCTGACCAAGAATCGAACCCTGACCTTCTGATTTATAGGTCAATGCTCTACCACTGAGCAACACTGGCCGGGTGGTAACATTATTTTTAAGGTGAATGATTTGAGACATTTCAGTCAGGGTCAAAATCAAAAACAGAAACCAAAAATCCAGAATGACAAAGTAACAGAACTGGAAAAATTGGACAGATAATTCAGGTTCTTTATTTCTACTTGGACCATGTTTTTTCTGTTCCTTTTTTAAGGTTCTGGAATTATCTGTTTCTCAAATAATTTACAAATGGCCAAAAAATATATTAAAATATGCTTGACAC